GTCTTTTCGGAACTATGGGAGTAGTTAGAAGACAGAATTCAGGTTTCATCTATTGTAGGAGGCTACTGCATCTCGTATTCACAACCGGATCGGTTTCAATTTATCTAATCAATTTTTGTCTCAACACAGGTGACTATAAGCTCTTCTGAACATTTATAATACCGGCCTTTGGCGAGTTACATATGTGCTGGTCTGTATACTGGAATCTCATTTATAATAGCCATGGATTACTGCAATGTATTACTAGCAGGTATTTGGTTAATGAATAAGTAGACACACTGTAGTTTGTGGTCACAATGTTCACAAAGTGGAAGCACTGGAAGTTCGGCGCCGTTGAAACGCTGGGCGTTGTTCATAAGAAGCTCTATAGCAGGAGTCGCTAGACCATCACCTTCACCATTCTTGAAAATGACCGCAGGGGAGAATGTGTGTCAATAACGCGGGAACTACCCTCCCCCCTATATGTATAAGGTTAGCCTTCCAACCGGAACCCTGAAACCGGATCAGTTCGATATCCGCTATACTGTCGTTCTGTGAGCTGATTCCGCTGATCGGGAAGGTACGGTACTTTATCTGCCTATTAATTATGTGATGGTTAGCTGGTCTCGAAGGTCTCGTAGGGTAGGGAGACATTTGGTCGGATAAATCGTGAATTGGTTTCCACCTTTTTAGGCTCCGAAGAAGGCGAAAACGCCGAAACGTTAGCCGACGGAATCATTATCAACCTCGTGTGCTGTTAAGTCAAATAAATTCGTACTTGATGATAATGATGGCATTAAAACTTCAGTGAGGAAGTGAATTAAGTGACGTGAGGCAGTGCAGAAGTAGCGAATTGCTGACCGTAAACAGTTAGAGGCGATATCTGAATGCTGTATCATATTTATCAGCAGCAATAGCGCTCCATGTAGAATCCTATAAGCTGTGACAGAACGGTGATAAAAGGCAATTCATTTGACTTTCTGGGAAACGCCACGCATTCCACTACCGCCTGCAATCGTAGTGGATTTTCGAATACGGTGTGGCCTTGACAGTCACTTGCGAATGTAGTCGATGAGCTCAGGTTTTACTTCTTGTGTTTCAGTTTTTTACATTCTGTGCTTTTGCCCTTTCAGAAAGGTCTAATACCAATTAAGGGACGTTGAAAGATAGAAGGCTCAATAAGACCTAATGACGCATCCTCCAGAGTATGATAGCCGTGTTGAGAGGTACCACTTGCTGAGAAAAGTCCTCTCCCGGTTTACAGGATGGACATAAATGAGCAAGCAGTAGCAGAGTTACTATGACTAAGGGATCATCCCCTCTTTTGAAAAAAAAACAGCATCAAGTTAAAGGTCTATAGAGGATACCCCCGAGATAACACTGAGAGGGAAATCACTTCAGAAATACTTTCTTTGGGGTAGAACACAATTTGTCAAGATAAATTATGACCAACGCGGAAATCGTGTAGATCGAACGACCGCATTGGGGCGAGCTCAGGTGTTTCCTAAATATCACATTGGAATGCGTTGGAATGCAGCTGGGTATGAACTATATGTAGTACTGTGGTGAGTAGGGATCGAGGAAAGGCTGTGCACGTCGTTATTCGAGATAGTTTTCCATCAAGTCCAACTGAAACCCAACTCAAGCATTTGTGTTATTGATGCAGTGAACTACAAACGACATCATGAAATGAGATTGGCTACTTTAATTCTATACGATGCTATAAGTAGCTCCCGACTTTTTTTGCAACAAACCGCCACTTATAATGTAACAGCATGGGCTCAAGTGGACTTGAACATAGTACGATTATATGCTATGTACACTTTTGTGATGAGTGCGCCACTGCGTACCTCGTTCGGACCCCAGTACTTTCTCATTATGGTGGCTCTACCCTTTGCAAGGAAACACTCGATATTCATGCAATTTCATTCATGTCGTGAAGTTCTCACTCTCCACCTGCAGAGCGCTTATGAGACGATTTTGTATTCCAAGATGATCTGGTGTTGGCCGGCTCTGTTGAATGTGATGATTGGCACACGGTTGGACGCCGAAACAAGTACTGTGTTACGATCATTCGCTGAGCAGAATCTGCAAAAGGGGTCATGCGACTCAGCACAAGATATAAGCTTCGAGTTTGATTCAGGAATAGCTCACCGGTAACCGGTTCGAGTTTGGTCCTCACTGGATTTGATTTCGACGCCCCCGAATTTACAGCCGTCGAAAGCGTAGCCATGTGAGATGGAGTTGATTTTAATTTCAATCTTCTTTCCTTCAGGAGCCTGGAAAGCTTGGAATTCGATTCAGCAAAAGATGACAAACACATGTATCTTCGCCCACTTCGACCCAGTAATTGCAGAACATATACTGTTCCCTTTCATTAGAAGGGAAGCCGAGTTTGTCTATGATGAATTGCTTGCTTTCCTTGGCTTTCAATACACTTCCGCATCCAGTCGGCTAGAAAAATTCCTTTGGCGTTGAACGTTGTAACTAGAATGCATTCAACTAACTCGCTGGTCGCAAAGAGCGCCGCCATAACCACTTGGGCAAATACATTCCGAGCACTTTCGTGGATGGGGGAATCCACCATTCTGGCACTTGGCGGAGGTCGCTTTGGGACATTTCGCTAAACAGCAAGCTCTATCACCTTCTCTAAAAAGCATACACATTATTTTGCTCACCTTTGCAGTTGTAATGATCGTTGATCATAGACTTATCAATAAATGAAAGGATTTGCGAACCCCCCCCGCCCCATCGTTCCCTCTCAGTAATCTTGGTGTCGCTTTGGCGTAACCACTTGTAGGTTTCTTGTTTTTAGAAGCGCTGTAATAATTCCTATTGTGTTAGCTCGACTGAACTCATGAGATGTTGTACTTCGCTCTTACCTGGATCCTTCATAATGCATAATACTGCCATAATCGTAGGTGAATCCGTAGTTAGTTGTGGTGGCAGGTTCAAACTTGACGAATTGATCCACAAACTCGTCCTGGAAGACTGAGAGTTTTCTCCGTTGCCCTTCGAGGAGGGGAAGGGATGGACCTACCTTAACGTTATCAAACACAATTGTAATGAAATCATCTCGGTCGTAGCGCGACATGGTATGGAAGAGTCCAAGGGCGTGGCCAATTTCGTGTGTAGCGATTCCGATCTGAAGCGATTTCACGATCCAAGAAGCACGATTATGAATTGAAGGTACTTGAAGGGCGCTGCTGGGTGTAAAGTGAATAATCTTAACGAAGTCGTACCTCTTCGCAGCCTTTGCCGAGCGAAAGGGGTTGCTCACCACCGTGACGACCCACGAACGACCAACATCCATCTTCTTTGATAAGTATGAGACTGTTTTCGGCTAAAATCGTAAATGATTGTCATCTTATTGGCAACCGTTGCTTGCTCAATATTTCAACCTTCTCCGTCCTTATCTTCTTTGAAGTCGACGCATGTTGCTTCTTCCCATTGTTTAGCTCCCATCTCGAACATTCTCCTAGTGAGATAGTCTGAAATTTCAATTTTTTCAGAGGCTATGGATCTTTCAGAGGATCAGCGGAGCTTCCAAAACCAGGCACGTCTGAAACACACCTGTGCTGTTGTCGAAGCGGTAGAAGACTCCTTGCTGCCAAGTAGTTTTTGGGTAATTTTCATCCTTAAACGCTTGTCTCTTAGCTCGTCCTCCCTCGAGACCTTCCATGAATTCTTCAAGTTGCCTCCTGGAAGCTATTGTTCCACAAAACATCATGTATGCTAAAACAAAACGAGCCACCCACTTTGTCAGCAGAATGTCACTCTGGAAGAGGGCTTGCCAACATTTTTAGCAGC